AAGACTACCAGGAACTCCACACAATTGGTACAAGGGCACGGGACTAAGAATACCAGGAACGGCTTATTAGTGGAAAAATCCCTAGGATTTTCACCAATGTCCAATTTTGATTTAATTGATGCTGTAAAATCATTATCAATAAAAAACTTTAGAGGAGTTTTCATGAGAGATCAATTACCGTCAAAACCAATGAAAAATGAAACGGGTATTATCAATCTCGATAACAGCAGCGGAAAAGGAACTCATTGGGTCGCATATGCAATTGATCCACGTGGAATTGTCTATTTTGATTCATATGGATTAGCTCCACCAAAAGAATTCATGCGATATGTATCCACAATAACAAAGTCATCTCCAATTTTTTATTCCACGCTACCAACACAACAGTTAAATGATCCACCGATATGCGGTCGTGAAGTATTAAATGTCCTTGCAGAGATATCTAAATTTCCAAGAAACCACCACAAGTTGTTGTTAATGAATATACTAGCAGGCAATGGCAAAAACGATAGCGTTATGATTTAGAAAAACGTAGCGTTTTCGTATAATGATTGATATTTGGGGACGACCTTTATCAGAATCAAAAAAAAAAAAACAGAAACCGATAGTAAATTAGCTGTCGAAAGTGTAAAAAAAAAAATAATCGAAGATGAAATCGCCGAGACATTAAATTTGTCAAGTGTAGATCCTGGGGAAATAGTTGTATTTCAAGATCGCCAGGGCAAATTGAAATCTAGTAATGTTTCATTGGATGATGTCTTAATACGAAGACGTGACGTCGTTGAAGATACAATAGTGTTATATTCAAATGATGGAAAACTCAAACCAGGTGTATTTTTTCTACAATCACAGATGCATTAAAAAATTTAAATGAAGAACTTGAAAAACATATAACAACATATACTTCCCTTCGTAGAAATATTATCAATAAATTTTTGGAACACCAGCGGTAACCTCTCCATCTCTCGCTGAAATTAAATCCAATTTGATGAAATTAAATCCAGTATTAAAATATTAATGATGCTGGATTTAGTATTATTAGAGATAGAATAAATAATATTAAAAAATCTATCGAGGATATTACAAAATTTAAAACAGACAATCTTCCGCTACTTGAAAGAATAAAGATTCCTCATGAGAGAAATATCATAAATATGATATACACAGTTCTCTCTGGATCATTAGATTGGGAACCTAAAAAGAATACAGTAACTCTCACTGTGTCAAACAAGGGTATTTATCGATTAACAATAGTGTCACTGAATCAGTTTAATATATCATCATCGACTTCATATGGATACAACAATACAAACGGTTTACAATAACAAGCACTGATCCTAATTTAAATAAGACATCATTTGTATGGTACATGGAGTTTGTAGCTGATCTAAATTAGAATTTTTAACAATTAGAAACCACTTGAGGTTTTAAAATAATATGATTCCATCATCGCAATATCGCTATGATACCGTCAAAGAGTTTGTAACAAAACTCAAAACACTCATTGATGAATATGAAATAAAAATTAAAAAGTATCGCAGGAGAATTACGCATTGATGTTACAGTATACTCGGTATCTGGTATAATGGCCGGTGCTGGTATTATACTATCTTCAGTAACAATGGTAGCTCCGATTGCTGTCCCAATTGCTATTTCCGCGGTGACAACATTTGCTGGAATTGCAAATGCTATTACTAAAAAAATATCATCGTGTTCTCAAGAAAAACTTAACGACTATATAGTAAAACATCAAGCAGTATCTAACGGTTACTCACAATTATCCTCGTTGATGTCATCATCGATTGATGATACGATAATTACCGAAGACGAATTCTCCGCGATGATACGTATTTATGATACTACGATTAAAAACGCTAGCGTTTTTTCATCTATTGCAAAATTAGACATTGTAAATAATAATAATAATAATGTCGCAAGAGATTCAACTACTTCAGCGGATAGCAGAAAATACCACTCCGCGGAAAACAAGCATGATATCAATATCGTCAACAAACCCTAAATTCAGTGTGAATTTTCCTCGCCTGTTTCAGTAAAGGAAATCGCGTTGGCAAAATTACGAGTGTATCATAGTTGGCCTAATATCAGATCGGTTCCATTTGGCGGTCAGAGACCTAATAATTCTCTGGTGTTTGCATATAGGAATAAAAAAGATGATGACACCAGATTGGAACGTTGTTTCAATACCAACTGGGTCCTATCAAATTGAGCAAATTAATAATGAATTACAACGTAGAATAAAATCCATTACTAAAAAAGAATCAAAAATTGCGATAACAGTTCATGAACCAACACTATCATCTACAATTGAAATAGGCTCTCCTGGGTATGTTGTAGATATTTATAACAGTTCAATAAGAACAGTATTAGGATGGCCCGAAGATCCACCTAGAAGTGCTGGTAATTCCACGCCCGAGCCTGTAAAATCTGATTACGTCACTGATGAAATAGGACCTGAAAATCCATCAAAAGGATATAAAAAATTCGAGGATATAAACTTTGATCACAAAAAGATATCGACGTAAGAATCAATATGGTGAAGATGTGTGGAGAATTCCATTTTTTAATGATTATATCCCACAGGAAGGTGATGAAATTCTGGGAAAAGGTACATGAAACAAGTCCAAAACTTTGTAGATATGAAAGATCACATCCTTGATAGAAATGAATTCAATGATTTTTTGTTTATTACCCTGCTACCATCTTAAGATCCGGTTTCACACAAGCTGAGTTTATAGTGTAGTCGCCGCGGGTAATAAAATCATCGATGACATGGAAATATTTAATTCGAGGATTACTAATCTCTTCACTGATGAAAATAGCCCGATTTCAAAAACTAGCTCAGCTCAATATATAAAAAAAATATAAATGAAAATCCAAATTATAAATTACCAGGATATAATAACGTTCCAGTTAAAGAAAAATTCAGAAACTGCCATCGACGAAGGATTTAAATAAAATCTATCAATCATGGAAAGATAGCCAGCCGAAGCCTATTATCCTCACTTATAATAATTCTCCCGACGGCGACGGTAGACATATCGCACCGAACAATGTGGATATTTCATCGGTGATCGCACTTAATTTAACGTGTGATGTAATCGAAGGAAGTTATCAAATTAATATGGAACAATCAAATCAAGCCCGACAGGGTTACATTCTTTATTCATTTGCACCAACAGCACCCCCCGGATTTTTAATTGTTGAGAATCCGACTAATCCAGTCTATATGCAATGTCAAAATGATTTACTAACTAGAATTAATTTTACACTCACCGATCAGTCAAATAATTTAATTGATCTACGGTGAAGTATTATCGATTAGTCTGTTTGTGAAAAGCTAACAAATATTTGGTTAAATAATTTGTATTAATCAGCAGCAGAGAGGGTGAAATGACAACATATTTGCGACCGTAGATGGCAGCAATTTTGAGGGTGGTTATGACAACATATTTACGACAAAATCGCTAAGATGGGGTCTTTATTTTTTTTTTGGTTGAAATATGAGATTTCGTAGGAAGGTTCCATTGGCATTCTGAGGCTTTAATCGATTTTGTCGCAAAAATTTGTTGACGTAGATGGCAGCAATTTGTGTGTGGTTATGACAATGTATTTCATTGTTACACAAAATCGCTTAAAATGGGATAACTTTAATTTTTTTTTGGTTAAATATGAGATTTCGTAGGAATCCATTGGCATTCTGATTATTAAATCGATTTTGTCGCAAACCGATTTGTTGTAGGGTTCACCATACGTGGTCTTCTGAAGTTACACAACGCCCTAATTTACACCTAAATTATTTTAGAAGATCATGCGTACGTGAAGACGGGTTATTAAACATTTTTGAAAATTCATGAACACATTTTAAAACACCATCTACAATAAAATATGAATCTATTTAGTCCAGAAAAGTAACTACTTTTTTAAAAGTAACTGATATGCCTAACTAGTACAATACTAACAAGCATTAGTCAAAAAATCACTTGCTTTAGAAGTTAAACTCCCTTTGGTCATTAACGGAAGAGTTTCAAATCTTCAAAAACAGAGACCATCATATATTATATTTGCTTCATCAAGTTAAATAAAGACTACTGTGTTACCGGATATATCTCACAGGCAGGGATTTCTCATTCGCTCTACGCAGTTGTATAACTCTTAGGACACGATTACATATCGATGTTGAAAGGTCCAGTTATTTCACTTGCTTACACATTAACTTTGAGAAATCATAATGAATCGTTGTGTATACATTTACCTTCATTAGGTTGGAAATATCGTGATTACATACTATTAGGATCACAGCTGATATTATTCAACCCTTACTTTATTAAGATTGTACGACTATAACTTTATATATGAGAGAATGTACACCTATTTACTACAGTCATTGGAAACACACACTTGAGCACATAGATAAAATATCAGCTTACTGTTTTCTATAATTAACTCTGAGAATAGTCTTATATTTACCTCTTTCATTCTTCACTCACATACGCGCTAGCACAAAACTAAAAGATACACTTCTCTCTCTCTCTCTCTCTCTCTCTCTCTCTCTCTCTCTCTCTCTCTCTCTCTCTCTCTCTCTCTCTCTCTCTCTCTCCATTCACATGTATGCATACTCACATCACATGCACTCACACTCAATATTATATACATGATACAAGTAAATATTTTGAATCTATGAAAGGCATACACCAATGCAGCATTTTGCAAAACGATTAATTCAAGGATTGAGATATCAGTAGTAGTAGTAGTAGTAGTAGTAGTAGTAGTAGTAATAGTAGTAGTAATAATAATAATAATAATAATAATAATAATAATAATAATAATAATAATAATAATAATAATAATAATAATAATAATAATAATAATAATCATATTAATTTTGTTCTGAAAATGCCAACAAATCCCGTTCATATTTCAACTGACTTTTCTTATAATGTTGAAGTTCTTTTTCTAAGTTTCTGTGTCATGTTACAAATGCTTTTGTGTCCTAGTGGTTAGAGAGTCTGCCTCAGATGCTAAAGGCCGCGGTTTCGAACCACGGCCAAGTCGCACCAAAGACTGATAATGTGACTGGGTGGGACATCAAGCTATTTACGTGTCTGTGGCATGATGCCCCAGTGCTAGACATCACTGTAAACTGTCACATTGCAGACATCATAGCGATATGACTGCAAAATTGTTAAAGCTAAGTTAAAAATCCAAAGCACACACACGCACGTACGCACACACACACCTACCATATGGGGTAACAACAAATGTTAGCACCGGATAATTATTCTTGCTGTATTCTTTCTTTTTAGGTCTTAGGTTTCATGAAGCATTCCGCTAGTATTCAAGGTTCAAAACAAAAATGTATAACTACTAATATAGAAGTCATCTATGTTGTTTGTGCGTTCTAGGGTGAATTTAAATAAAAGTTTTAAGAGATATATTTGTCTTACTTAAGAAGCTAATGTACCTGCACAATTGAAAATTAGATTGATCACATGGTAACATATATTCGCCAGCTAATGTGTTGATGACTGGAAATGAACATACACATAAATGTATATATAATTTCCAGGGCTTAAAAGGGCACGTTGTGACCAACGAAATAGTTGTTGGTTAAAGTCATTTTGTAACTCTGCCACTAAAAGTCAATTAAAGAAACACTCCATTGTTGACATTTTCAAATACATCAACTGTTCCGATCAATGAATGAGAAATATTGTGTACGCTAGTTTACTATAATTCTAGATTGCAGGATGGATAACATTTAGATTTTTACTGATGATACATATGACAAACGATGTTTGAGATAATTTTGGACTTAGTCTGTATCATCCAGTGCAATCCGAGTTGCAGCGCTAAGTTTGGCTCATTAGTTTTATGGTTCTAGTAATCGAAACAGTTCATAACTTTCTCGTTTTCAGAGTGGTTTTGAGAAATTCTGGTTCTTATTAAAGCCAGCAGCTGTGAAATCTTAATCCAATGGCAAGTCTGCCATTATTTATTAAAGCATGTTGGTCTGTTGGTCAAGAAGCTGACTATATGTATGCTTAACACATACATGCATGATCCCAAGAGTTTCAGTTTTGAAGTTGGTCCAACACTAGCTAAGTTTAAAAACGTGGCTTCATTATTTCCAAGAACGCTGGAATATTTTTTATCAACGATAATGAAAGAAATCAGTTTAAAAGTTTTCATTGTCCTGCAATATATATATATATATATATATATATATATATATATATATATATATATATATATATATATATATATATATTTATATTATAACCCTATATATATCTTTATATATCCATATATTATATATGGAATTTTATGGATCAAAATCTTTCATCATTGATTCATTGATTCATCGAAGACAAGTCTTAAATCTGTTTTGCGTAATGGTAATGTTTGGCCATCAATTCCAGTTCGTCATGCAGGCCATATGAAGGAAACCTATGAAAACATGAAAAATATTTGAGGTGCATAAACTGTGACCAATATCATAAGCAGCTTTATGGGGATTTGAAGGTACTTGCTATCTTCTTTGGTCTGCAGACTGGATACACGAAGTGCTGATGTTTTCTCTGCGAATGGGATAGTCGTGCGAGAGATTCACACTACATCAAGAGAGATTGGCAACTCTGACAGTCATTGGAGCCTGGAACGAAAAGTGTTCAGCATCCACCAATTGTTAATCAAGGAAGTTTTTGTTACCACCCTTGCACATCAATGGGTCTGATAAAGAACCTTGTCAAGACCATGGACTAAACACAGACAGCTTTTCATGTACCTCCATGGAAAATTTCCAAGGTTAAGTGAAGCAAAGAAAAAGGAAGGTGTCTTTGTCGGTTCTCAGATTCGTAAACTTCTTCAAACATTTGACCGTGCACTGAGTTACAAGGAAAGACGGCATGGAAAACCTTCCAGTTAGTAGCAACACATTTTCTCGGAACCAAGAAGGTAGATAACTACAGGGAGTTGGTGGAAAATCTCCTCAAGGCATACAAAAGTCTTTTGTGCAACATGTCGCTAAAGACACGTATTTTTGCACTGTCATCTAGATCTTTATCCATCGAATCGCCGAGTAATGAGCAACGAGCATGGCAAGAGATTTCCCCAAGACATTGTATCAATGGAGAAATGCTATCACGGCGAATGGAGCCCATCAATGGCTGAAAACTATTGCTGGATAGTCACAAAAGATGCTACATTTAATGATACAAGAGATAACCCAAGAAGAGCCGAGTCTTTTTGTTCCGTCTGTCTATGTGAGACGATGGTGTAGCTTACGGTTGGGTGTCCTATCTGCACCTTTCAGAGTGGCTGAAGAGGAAGACCCTAGAGTGATAGTCCCTGCTGATCTTTTTGCAGGTAAAATTTGATGCTTGTTGAGGCTGTTGTTGTTTCGCCTTTACTCCAAGCTCTCTTTGTAGATAGGTTTGTGCTCTTCGCTTTCTCTGCTTCTTAACGCCCTGCCTGACAGCAAGGGTCCAGGCACTCCGCCTGGCGCCTGTAAGACAGGGAGTTAAGAAGCAGTTGTTGACGTTGAAGTTGGCTGTATTCATGTCCTTCTTGTAGACGTCTTTGTAACGCAGACATGGCGGTCCAGTCAGTCGTGTGACTTCTGCTAGCTCGCCGTGTACCGGGTCCTTGGGAATGCGGCCTGGATGCATTCTCTTGACGTAGCCAAGGCATCGAAGGCGCCTCTCGCTGAGAATAGAGAACATACTATTCATGCTGGCGTATTCCAGAACCTCTGTGTTAGGTATTTTTTCATGCCACTGTATGCGCAGAATGCGTCACAGGTATCTCAGTTAAAGGCTATTGAGATTACTTTCGTTGCTTGTGTCGCTGCTGTAGAGTAGTGCGCTGAGCGCGCAGGCCTGGTAGACCCGCAGTTTGGTCTTCTCAGTGAGGTTGGTGTTGTTACAGACCCTCTGTTTCAGTCTGACCATAACTGCTGATGTATTTGGAATCATGCTGATCACCTCAGCATCAAATGAGATCGAGCTGGAGATGTTGGACCCAAGGTATGTGTAGCCCTTAATAACGTCGATTTTGTACCCATTGATGGCAATGGTGGTAGGGGAGTCTGCATCCAGCGCCATGACGTTCGACTTCTTCAAACTGATCCTCATTCCAAATTCCTTGCAGGTGTGGGAGAGGCTACATATCAGCGGCTTCAGTCTATCTTCCGTATTTAATGTTAAGGCTGCATCTTCAGGGAAGAGCAATTCACGGAAGAGAACCTCTGTGACTTTATTCTTTGCAAGGAGACGGGTGATATTGTACAGCTTGCCATTAGCCCAGATGTGGATGTGCATTTCCTCGCTGAAGTCCTTGAAGGAGTACTGGAGGAGCATGGAAAAGAAGATGACAAAGAGCGTCGGGGCAAGGACACAGCCCTGCTTCACACCATTGTTGAATGGGAAGGTCACTTATGTTGCCCAGTTCATGGACACGGTTATGTGCATATTCTCGTGAAACGATGTGACGAGAGCATGCAAATAGTAGGGGACAGCCTATCTTCTCCAAGAGCCTGAAGAGTCCGCTCCGGCTGACCATGTCAAACTGCTTCCTCACGACACTTCTCTTGCAGCTGGCAAAGTGAGATGATCGTGTCTACAGTCGACTGGCCGGCTCAAAAACCACACTGGGATTATGGGTAAAGGCGGTAGGCTAGGGTCTGCAAGTGTACCAGGGCGACATGGGCGAAAGCTGTTTCGAAAATGCTGAAGAGAGAGATGCCACATAGTTGTTGCAATCGCTACGGTGTCCTTTGTTCTTGTACAAAGTGATGATGTTGGCGTATCGCATGTCCTTGGTAATGTGTAACAGCAATTCGTGCAAGGGCTGGAGTAGTATTGGTTTCCCGCTCTTGATGACTTCAGGTAGGATGATATCTCTCCGAGGAGCCTTAGCAAAAGCGAGGCAGTCGATGGCTTTTCTGAGCTCTTCCAGGGTGAGCGATGTGTCTAGCTCCTTTATAACTTGCAGGTCTATGCTGGTGTTCAAGGCTGTGTCGGTGACGACGTTTTGAGTTTCATACAACTCAAGATAGTACTCAATCCAGCGCTTTATCTGTTTTCCCTGGTCTGTGATGACTTCGCCCGTCTATGACTTGGAGGAGGTCTTGGAGGTTGGCGGGCCTGTCACCTTCTTGATACTCTTTTACATGCCTCTTGCATTTCCAGTATCAGCAGATGTCTGTATGCTGGTGCAGAGGTTCAGCCAGTATTTTTTGGTACAGTGACGGGCGGTCTGCTGGGCAGTCCTATGGGCTTGCAGTGTACTAGTTTTAGGCGCAGCCTTGTAAGCAAGGAGGTCTTTCCTCTTCGCCTCAGTCATGGGCTCCATTGCCTCCAAGGTGGTCTCATACCAGTCGGTATTTTTGTGCTATTTCTTTCCGTAGGCTGTAATGGGTGCATTGTACTCAGCGTCTTGGAGGTGGGATCACTTGAAGTCGATGGTTTCATCAGGAGTCTCTTTTGTGAGAGCCTCTCACAGCTTGCTGATGAACTGATGTGTCTTTTCTGGGTTGCATGCACAGCAGGTGTTGATGTGTAGGCGACTCTTCTTGGCGTGGTGTAGCTTCTTTGGTATTATTCGCACCTTGTTGGCCACGAGGGAGTGGTCCGTGTCGCACTCGGCGCTGTGGTAGCTAAGGGTGAGGAGAACACTGGTCAGTTCCTCACGCCTGGTGATGACAAGGTGCCAGTGGAATGAACGTGGGGCATCAATGATTGTATAATATTGCTGGGCAGTGACAAGAGATGCTCCATTTAATGAATACAAGAGACAAGACAAGAAGCACCGAGTAAACACTGAATAAGACTATACTATGTACTTATATATACATAATTCGGTTATTTTGTCCTTTGTCTGTTAATAAATTTTATTTATATAACCATTTTGCTGTTTTTTCAAAGTGTTACATAAACAGGACGGGTAAAATATTATAATTTAATGAAACCATTAACACCTGAAAAGACCTAGGTTTCCAATTTTTGACTAAAAGTCTACTATCTACATAATATACATCGATGTAAAATGTGAAAGC